CTCAGCAGCTGCCGTTGCCCGTGGCGAGAACGCGCTGCCCCTCCTTGCCTTCTTGCTCTCTCCTTGCACGCGAGTCCAGCGCTTGCTCTGCAGCCACTTCCCCAGCTTCTCCTTGAGAACGTTGCGCCCAACTCCCTGCTCCTCTGGCATCTTCGCCCACTCTCCCAGCGACATGAACTCCAGGCTCCCCGGAGAGTAGAACGTGTCGTGGAGGTTGCCAACGGCCTTGTCCAGGACCAGCTTGATCGGCTCGCTCGTCCCCGCCTCGTTCAAAGAAGCTGCATCTTCGATGACTGCTGACAGCTCGCTGACGAGCTGCATGTCCTCTTGGCTTGACGGAGATGCTGCCTCCATTGTGATCCTCTCCAGGTCTGTAAACTCCAGCCACTCTCCCTCGCTTTCCTCCTGTCGCTGCGCTGCGTCGCTGGTGCCCCGCTGACCAGCCGCCTCAGAGTCAGGCTCCTTGTCGAAGCCGACTGCTTCGAGCTTGGTTGCTGCGCCTTCGAGATAGAAGGGCAGCTCCTTCATCATGCGTCGAGCATCCTCCGTGGAGCCGAGGAGGATGCATAGCTTGGACCCGTTCCAGGACTTGGTGTTCAAATCCTCCTCCATGTCGATGCCTTCAACGTTGATCTCGAGCCTGTTAGCGATCTCCAACAAGACTCTCTTGACTCTTGCGATAGACGTGTTGCCGCCGTTGCACAGCCCCTCCATCTCCTTCCTCGTGAAGCGACCAGATGCCGCCGTCGACTTGATGATGATCTTGATCTCCTTGCCGTCCTTGCCGCCTGCCTTCTTCTGCATCCTTGATGCCTTCTTCAACTTATTTCTGGACACAAAGCGATCAGCTGTCAACTCGACTGCGAGCGCCTCTCTGATCTTCGGGTCCTCGCTGAACAGAGTCAGGTGTACTCCCTCCATCGCTTCGCTCTCTCGGAAAGCTCGAAATGCTGTATCATTCGCCTCTGGGCAGCTCGAGGAGACGATCCACTCCACCTCCCTCTGTCTCCAGATGACGTTGGCCCCTACAGCGATGAAGCCTTTCTGACCTAAGCCTTTGTGGACTTGCTGTCCTGGCGCCCCAGCGACCAGCATGCCTGCCAGCGGCTGGAGTTGGACCGCTGCAAGGGACTGGCGCAGCAGCTGATAGCGATAGACGGCAGCTATCTCAGCCGTTGTCATGCCGCCCAAGGTTAGCAGGTGAGTCAGCTCTGCCAAGCTGCCCCCTTTGCCCCAGGGTCCTCTCTTGGCTCGAATCTTGAAAGATCGATCGTGCACGATGCTCACATGTACAGCTGTGAACTTGCGACCATCGATCGCGAAGTCCTCTCTTCCCTGCCAGAGCTTCTCCGCTTGTGCATTGCGGAGGAAGGAAACAGTCACCGGGATCTCCTCAGCACTCGCTATCTCGGGTCTATACGGAGCCTTCCACATGATCGCTTTACTCTCTTGCACTGAGTCTACGATCAGTCCGATCTCTTCAAATTTCTTCTTCAGCTTTTCTTCATGGTTGACATACACCGAGGAGATGCCCAGGAGAGTCATGGAGATGAAGGAAGTCACCTCGTTGCCTGCTGAGGCGGTGTATGTCTCGACCTTCTCCTTCTTGGCTTCTTCAATCTGCTGCATAAACCACTCTCTGGATGCGTCACTCCATCCAGCCATCGCTTCTTGCAGAAGCTCACGTCGTGCCTGCTGACATGTCGAGCGGATGGCTTCTGCGATAGCGTCGGGGGTGCATCCCTCCACAGCCTTGCAAGCCTGGGCTGTCCTGCTGTTCGGATAACGCTTCGCGAAGCTCTTCACCCTCTCGACGAGATCAGCTTCGAGGACAGAGGCATCCACAAGTCCGCTCTGCGTGTATTGGCATGATCTCCGATACAGCAGGTTGCGAACATTTTCATCATACTGAAGAACCATACTTAGAAAGCTATTTGAAGTATACAAACCTCTTGCTTGCAGCTTCCTTGGCGCCCTGGCGGCTTCCCCTACACCTGACGAGGAGCCATGCTGCCGAAAACAACGGCGCCTCCATGCTGCCGAAAATAACGGCGCCTCCATGCTGCCGAAAATAACGGCGCCTCCATGCTGCCGAAAATAACGGCGCCTCATGCTGCCGAAAATAACGGCGCCTCCTAAACCCTAAACCCTAAACCCTAAACCCTAAACCCTAGTAGTAGTAGTAGTTGAGTTTATTAGAATGCTAGGTAGGTTGCATGGCTTGTTATCACCTTGCTCTACTCTAGTCTAACAGGGATCTCGTGACCTGGCAGTTCGGCCCGACTTGGCTGGCCCTTATGGCAGCCGTGCTTCTGCTCTGCTCCCTCCTCTGATATACTTGAGTGGTCTTCCCCGGCCTCAGCCAGTGGAGTTTCCTCCGCCGGCCTTGGCCTGGGTCGTCCGTGCTTTCAACTTGTGTTGCTTCCTCGGCTCCGACACACCTTGGCGGTCTCGGCCGGCCTTCGGCCAGTGAGTGAATGAGGGATAAGGACAATCAGGAGATAAGGTGGTAGGTGGAATGCGTATGGGTCCCTGGGACTCACGTCCCTTCCCCCGGGCCTCGGTCCGGACCGGGCCCGAGAGCCCGGCCGGCCTCCGCCCGGCCTCCTCCTCCCGGCCCCCCTCCCCCCTCCCCCACCGGCTTACCTGCCCTTACCTTCGTTGCTTGCCCCATGTCCACCTGCTTTATTTCTTCCTCCTTCCCCCCATGGGGCCCACAGCTCCGCTCCGCCTCTTGTCCACCTCTAAGACTTGACTCGAGCCTCAAGCGCGCGAGGGGCCTGCACCGGCCTCCTCCTCCACGCCCTCGCCCTCCTCAGCCTCCATGTCGACTTCCTCCCTCATCATCAGCCGCAGTCGGTCTTGCTTGTCGACCTTGCCCGTGCAGCTCAACCCATGGTGCTCAGCAAATTTACTGATCGCAAGAAACAAGAGGCTAACAGATCGACTCTCGATGTCATCGCTCTCAGCCTCCTGCTCGAGCGCATCAGTCGCTGCTGCCCTTGGAGAGAAGGCGCTGCCCCTCCTCGCTGCCTTGTTCCCTTGCACCCGTGTCCAGCGCTGCTCGCCGAGGTACGCTCTGAGCTTTTCTTTCATCATGTTTCGCTTCGATCCCAGCGTCGGCGTGGCTGCCCAAGCTCCGAGCGTCATGAACTCCACGTTGCCCGGCGAGCAGAAGGTGTCATGCAGCTTCCCAACACTCTTGTCTAGCTCCAGCGAGATCGGCTTGCCAGCTAGCAGCTCCTCCTCTGATGTCTCCAAGAGCATCGTCGAGAGGTCGAGCAAGACCTGTTGGTCGACTGGCCCTGACGGTGACGCTGCTTCCATAGTAATCCTGTCGATGTCGCTGAGCTCCAGCCATCCAGCGCCTTGCTGCTGCCCTTGGGGCTCTTGGGCTTGCTCCTCGCTGCTCGGGCTCCTCTCCTCCTCATGCTGAGGGTTGAGCTTAAAGCCCATAGCTTCCAGCTTGACTTCCAGGATCCCTTCCAAGTAGAAGGGCATGTCTTCCATCAAGCGTCGAGCCTCTGCCTTGGTCGCCAGGGAGAGAGCTATCAGGCTCCCATCCCAGCTGAGCGTGTCACGATCCTCCTCGACCTCGACGCTGACCAGCTTGAGGTTCATTCTTCTTGCTAACTCCAACATGGCTCGCTTGACTCTCGTGATCGATGTGTTACCTCCTCCGCACAGCGCTTCCATCTCCTTCCTCGAGAAGCGGCCTGTGCTCATGCTTGACCTCGACTTGATCTGTACTCTGAAGCTGCTGCGCCCCGCATGATCTCTCTCGCGAAGTGCCTTCCTCTGCTTGGCAATCTTTCCCCTCGGCACGAAGGTGTCGGCTGTGAGCTCGACTGCAAACGTCTCTCTGAGCTTGGCGTCGTCGCTGATGAGAGTGAGATGCACCCCCTCCATCGCCTCGCTCTCTCTGAACGAGGCCAAGGTCTGCTCGCAACTTGCCGTCGAAGGCGAGCTGAGCACCCACTCCAGCTCTTTTTGCTGGAGAGTGCCCGTACTTGCCCCAACAGCGACATACGTCTTCGGGCTCGGCCCCTTGCGACCTCTCTGCCCAGGACCTTGCACGAGCATGCCTGCAAGCGGTTGTACCTCTGCGGCTGCAAGAGATTGCGAGAGCAGCTGAAATCGATAAATCTGAGCGATCTCAGCCGTCGACATTCCTCCGAGAGCTAAGAGCTGCGATAGCTCGGCAAGGCTCCCTCCCTTGCCCCAAGGTCCTCGCTTGGCTCGAAGCTTGAACGACCGGTCGTGTGCAATGCTCACCTCTGTGGCTCGGAAGGCTCTCCCTTCTATGCAGTATTCTCTCCTGCCTTCCCATAGCTCCATGGCTGCTTCATTCCGAAGGAAGGAGACGGTGACTGAGATGTCGTCTGCTCGTGCTATCTCAGGTCTGTAAGGTGCTTTCCACATGATGGCCTTGTCGACTCCATCGACTGAGTCTACCATGAGACCTAGCTCCATAAGCTTCGATTTCAACTTTTCTTCTTGTCGAACAAACATCGAGGAAATCCCTAGGAGAGTCATGGAGATGAAGGAGGTCCCCTCGGTGCCTTCGGTGCCGATGTATGTCTCGACATTCTGCTTCTTGGCCTCCTCCATCTGTTGAATAAACCATGCTCTCGACTCTGAGCTCCATTCACTCAGAGAGTCTTCAAACAGGTCGCGTCTCGCCTGCCGACATGTCGAGCGGATGGCTTCAGCGATAGCGTCGGGAGTGCATCCCCCCTCAGCTCTGCAAGCCTGAGCTGTCCTACTACCAGGATACCGCTTCGCGAAGTTCTTCACCCTCTCGACGAGGTCGGCGGCCTCCTCGGCGTGGCCTCCAGAGCGCTCGCCCTGCGTGTATTGGCATGATCTCCGATACAGCAGGTTGCGAACGCTCTCATCATACTGTAGTACCATGCTTAGAAGCTGTTTGAACTATACCAAGAACTTGCTCGCAGCTTCCTCCGGTCCCCTTGCGCTCTCCCTACGCGCCGCGGATGTGCATGCCTCGGGAAGGGGCGGCCTTGCCTCGGGAAGGGGCGGCCTTGCCTCGGGAAGGGGCGGCCTTGCCTCGGGAAGGGGCGGCCTTGCCTCGGGAAGGGGCGGCCTTGCCTCGGGAAGGGGCGGCCTTGCCTCGGGAAGGGGCGGCCTTGCCTCGGGAAGGGGCGGCCTTGCCTCGGGAAGGGGCGGCCTTGCCTCGGGAAGGGGCGGCCTTGCCTCGGGAAGGGGCGGCCTTGCCTCGGGAAGGGGCGGCCTTGCCTCGGGAAGGGGCGGCCTTGCCTCGGGAAGGGGCGGCCTTGCCTCGGGAAGGGGCGGCCTTGCCTCGGGAAGGGGCGGCCTTGCCTCGGGAAGGGGCGGCCTTGCCTCGGGAAGGGGCGGCCTTGCCTCGGGAAGGGGCGGCCTTGCCTCGGGAAGGGGCGGCCCTTGCCTCGGGAAGGGGCGGCCCTAAACCCTAAACCCTAAACCCTTCATCGTGTACGACCGGCCGCCGGTCGTACACGATGAACTCCCTGTGCTTGTCCAGACACGCCTGCGGGTGAGTGTCTTGCGTTACTCCGATCACTGAGTCATGCAGCCGGCTGCTGCCCGGCATGGCTGGTGGTCGTCGAGCTCTCCTCATGGTTTGCAGGGCCTCGTACGGCGTTCCTAGCGCCACAGGCTCGCACGAGCAGCATGCGGCAGATCCCGCGGCTGTCGGGCGTGCAGTACTCGTCGCTCTTGCTGGAGTTCTCCGCTAGGTAGACCCCAGCTCCGAACAAGCCTTCTAGGCTGCAGACCCGCTCGTCGAGCCCGGACTTCAAGATAGCTTCCGCCATGTCGTGCTTGGTCCCGTGGAACAGAAACACCTCGTTGCTCGTCTTGTCCTGTAGCAACGAGCTCTTCATCCAGTCTCTCCAGGTGCTGACCTTGGTCTTAGGGTGTCGATTCCCCTGCTGCAACATGAGCTGACCTATAGATCTTCGCTCTAGAGCATACGCCGACCACAGCCCCGCATGCTCTACACGGAAGACTCGCTCCACCTCGTATCCTTTATACTTGAGGCCCTTGTTGTCTCTTCCTTGCGCTGCTGGGGTAACACTCTGACTTTTTTTTAAGATGCTTTCGCTGCGCTTTTCTCTGAAAGAGTCCAAAAAGGCATTTTTCCAGTCTGCCAGCCCTCCATTGGATGCTTCCAGTGTCTCTCGTACCTCTCCATATCCCCTTGGATGCTTCCAGTGTCTCTCGTACCTCTCCATATCCCCTTGTATGCCACCAGTGCCTCTCGTACCTCTCCATATCCCCTTGAGCCCATTTTTTCCATCTCGCCGGGATCCCACAGACTTCGTATTTTTGCGAGAAAAAGAGTGCGTCATGAAGTCAGTGGGATGTTGGCATGAATTGAAAAAACAAATGGCGCACCCAGCGGTAGCGGTGACGGGGAGTTACCCAACTTGTTGGGTGACTCCACGGCAGGGGGCATGAATCCACTAATATAAGGACTGTGTGAGTTTCCGCGCATAATACGTAAGAACGAACTTTATTTCTTTCTCTATCTGCTCTTCTCAATCGCTATCAGAGCCTGCTGTCTCAATCATAGGCTTGCGAGAGATGCTGCCAGTCTGCGTCCTCGTCGCGTGAGTCGATTGACTCTGTGAGGAGTCTGAAGGCAAGCGTTAACCCTGCTCTGAATGTCTGTCATAGCCTTCTCCATCAACAAGCTTGTCAATTTGATCTGCTTGGCCTCGAGCGGCGACAGAGGGTAGGGGTAGGCGGGACTTGGGGAATAATGTGGAGGTCAACTGTACAACGTAAGTTTGACCTTTTCAGCGAACTTTGAAATCCTCCCCTCAGATTTCAAGATATCCACCAAACCCTCTTTCAACTATCTCCCTTATCTGACTTCATTGTCATCTGAAGGTTTCAAGTTTTGGAGCAATCTTTCAGCCCCCTCCAAGAATCCATTTCACTTTCAAACTTCTTTCTACGTCTCACCGAAACATTTCAAGTTTCAGTGGTTATAGCAGTGTTCGCCGCTGATTCCTCATTGGCCCCGGCTGCCGCCCGGGCCCCGGGCGCACCCGGGCCCGGCAGTGAAGTACAAAGGGGGCCCGGCGACTGAGTGTCGAGGCCCGGGACCGAGGAGATTTTCAGATTTCCTGAGGCTCCGCTGAGCTCGATCCACCCTTGAAGCCAGGGGTCAGCTGGCAGTGGCGAGGGAGCGCTCGGACCTGCCAGCTCGGAACTTCGGAAGCCAGGGTCAAGCCTTCAGTGACCAGCTGTTATTAGCAACAGGCCCGCTCAGCTCGTGTCACGGCTCATGACCATATGCTCTCAGCTCGTCAGCCTCATCGCCCCCCCGTCAGCAAGACCTCTGGGTGTCTCTCAGCTCCTTCACTGAGCACAACCCGACATGCAACACAAGAGGGCTACCGGGCATCGACTCATCCGATCAGATCGCGCACATGACGTTTCCTCGGTGACTCAACTGGATCTCGTGAGACGCAGTGGAGTGAAACGAACTTTGATTGATCAGACATTCAAGATCCGGAGTTACCCCCTGCGTGAGCGAGTGCGCCCCAGTGACCCGACGAGCTCTGGTGAAGTTGCTGCAACGCAAGACGCACCCCTCCTGTTTACCTTGTAAGTCCCCCACGGGTACTCGGTTGCTGCAACAAAGACCTCCATAGGGGTCCTTTCAGCAGCTTCACACTGGAGTAGAGTATCCTGGGTCATCCATCGGAGCACGAGTACGAGGCAGCCAGCTGTCCTTTCATTCTGATAGGCCTTTGTCTGAGTCGGGCTCGGTTCCTATGAGCTCTGACAGCTCAGTGACCCGAGGAGCTGTGATGAGATCAGAGCCGCGAGCAGCTGAGAACCTCTGATCAGCACACGGTGACTCTTGGGACAAGCGATGCTCGGCACGAACCAACTTGTCTCTTCGTCTCGGGTCGACGCGCGGCGTCAGGTGACCGATGGCAGCGTCTCACGCGGGAGAGTGGAAGAAGGTGTCAAGTTTTGGAGCAATCTTTCAGCCCCCCCCATGAATCCATTTCACTTTCAAACTTCTTTCTACGTCTCACCGAAACTCATTTCAAGTTTCAGTGTTGCCAAGAGAAACAAGAGTGAGAGACTGATGGCTTCTGCTAACTTTGAAATCCTCCCCTCTGATTTCAAGTATTCAAGTATTATTTCAAACTCATTTCAAGTTTCAGTGTTGCCAAGAGAAACAAGAGTGAGAGCAGAGTGACTCTAGAGCAAGATGGGGTGATGGATGGGAGGGAGAGATGAATGGGAGGAGAGAGAGGATGTCTTGTCGCATGTGATGATGGATGAAGACATCGGGGGGGTTTATCGCTCTCTCTGCTCTCTCATGGACGCGATGCTGAGCCATCTTAGGTTGGCGAGTGTCTGCCGGTACACTCGGAGGACTGTTTACGAAGCGGCGGCTCTTCCACACTGTGTGAGACTGGAATGAGTTTCAAACGGTCTCAAGACTCTGAAATCCTCGAGTCTGATTTCAAAATCAGACTCGAGAAATTCCGTGCGCCACACAACGTCGGTCCACTTGGAGCAAGCTTGATTTCGATCCGTCATGACCCAGCAGTCTCAACCCTCGTTGACATGCCCAATCATGTTGATGCAATTCCAGTGTCACACTCTGAAATTCTCGGGTCTGATTTCAAAATCAGACCCGAGAATTTCCGTGCGTTGGTGTTTTTTCGTTTCTGCTGCAAACTCGTGCAACCCCATCGAGTCTCGTTACACACATTCAGACGACTCTTCTCTTCAATGAGGCTCTCTCTCTAGCCGCAAGTTGTTTCAAGTCAGCCCTATCACTAGTATCCCAGCCACAACTTGTTCGATCCGTCTTCGCATGCACTCTAGGAAAAACAAGCCTCTCCCCAGCCAGATTGGTCGGTCGGATATCAGCTACACTGTGGACCGGACATGAAGTTGCCGGAAAACACTCGGAGCTACTAGTCGATTCCGAGTCTCACAGTTGTTTCAAGTCTCTTGATCATCAGCTTTGAGTAGGATGCAATCAGCAACTCCCAGGAGACTGCGATCTAGGCAAGTGTTCATGTCACAGAGCTGCTGGTGGCTAGGATCGGTGAGCAAGCTCACTTGTAGATCGGTGAGCAAGCTCACTTGTGGATCGGTGAGCAAGCTCACTTGTGGATCGGTGAGCAAGATAAGACTGCACAACCTCTTCAAATGCCTTGAAACGGATGTTCCACCCTCGCGACAGCAATCTCTGGTTACAAGATCTTTACGGTTCAAGTATCATCTTTTAGATATCAAAAGCCGGCGGGCAAGCTTGTCTCTCCTTGTTCAAGTTCCTCTCTTATCTTCTCCTCTATCACAACTTCCTCCCCTACATCACCCCCTACTCTGACGCTCTCGCATGACCCCCCACCCCTCCTTGTCCGTACCCACCCCTCTCTTCCCCTCGCGTCT